CCATCCAAACCCGAAACCACAATTATATACATCACTAGTGTTTTTTCGAGCGCGAGTCGAACCCGTGGCACGTTTCACAGCAGCCAATTGCCCAGTCTCTATACCAACCGTGCATCCATTGCGCCAATTGCTCCTCATCTATACAAAGTTCCTCGTCTGTGCAGACCCTCACCCTTCCTCCCACAGAATTAATCAAATCATGACGACAGTACAAAGATAACACTATATCTATAAATAATTACAGCAACAACTATATTTAGATTGCCTTGAACACTTTTATCTGTCGTTGTTTCTAAGAATTGTTACACGAATTTCCTTTGACGTAACGATACCACAGTTTGAGTAATACTATGGCTGGTCGACTTCTTGGCCGGATGTATGGAAAATTAATGTAAGTATGCATGACGATGTCTTGCATAACTTGCGTTTGGATAAGGATATTTCTTTGGTGATTTGCTACAAGCACATCGGTGTTTTAATATGATTCTTCTGGTGGTTTGGTCTTTCGATATGTGTTATGACCAAAGAAGCAGGCGGATTAGCTAATGAAAAGCATTTGGCGCTGCCTTTGGACCCTACAGCTCTAGAAGAGTTGCAAGTTATTTGACCAGCCTTTTGAGAATAAGGACTTTAAGGCATTTTAGGATTGAGGAAGGATTTGGCCTCTGGTGAATTCACTCACATGCCGAAATACAACGCTTTAGTTGTTTTAGACTGATCTTCTGTAAAGTCTAGTATCACTCCGGACGAGCCATTCGTACCCAACCATTGCTCTCCCACACGTACCATTCAACCATTTTCTTTTCTTGGAAACATATTTCAAAAATCGTTGTTGTGCTTGTTAAGAAATATTTCAGACGTAACCATCCGGATTGTTGTTACAATCCGGATGATAGGTAACTTTTTTCAAACCTTTCACTTTTCAGTAAAACTTTCTCTGTGATTAAGTTGAGTGTCAACTGTCAGGTACTCTGATGGTCGTGGAACGTGAATAGACATAATTGGGTTGTAGTTTGTCACGTCTACCGTTATCAATGACGTGACGTGACGATATTTGCATATTGGGTTACTTGTAGACAAGTCTCGACATGTCCGGACCAGTATCTATATACTACATCTTACTATGTTCAGACATGTCTGTATGGTTAAAAAAAGTAAGCCAATTTTATTTTTAGCCGACCTTGTCCTAAGTTGCTTGGGGTTGTCGCGACATGTTTTCTTATCAGCTATATTTAGCATTAGTCCCTGTATGTCGTATGTCTTCATGAAGTGAACTTTGCTCGTATTTTTCCATTATTTGACTAGTAGGCGGTATCCGGTGACTGCCTCGTGGTAGCAAGTGGAATGACCGAGCAAGGGGGTTCGGGTGATGTTGGTTTTTTTTGATACTAGATCTGAATTTTTAATAATTTGGTGTGATGGAAACTGAGTTGAAACTGAGTTTATAAATACAATGAGTTTATAAACTCTGTTTCAGGCATCAGAAGACTCACAAGACTCACAATTATAATAAGACCTTGACAGAATTGCAGCAAATGGGAGATGTAAGTAATGGGAGATACATAGGTATAAAGTAGATATTAAGTAAAATCTGCAACTAGCTATCCCTTTGACAGTGATAGGTTAATTTACGTCAGCATCATTCGTTGCAATTATTGGATTGCACTATAAGGAAACACGTGGCTACTTAACCGGACCTAAATTCGGGACAACGGACAACACATAGCAACAGTAAGTATGTGATTCACTTCTTTATAATATACCTACTTCATGTAGGTAGATACAGACGGACAAGTCGCCTCGTGTCTTTTTTTTTTAGTGTGACGTAGCCCGTTATCGCTCGCGTGCTGCGGGCCACTGCCTGCCCGTTGTGCAACATCAATGTTCATTAATATTTTAATAGATAACAATTTTAACATCATAATTTTCATTTAAGGAAATTTCTTATTGTTTTTATACGTATTGGCATTAGGGCACGAGCCTTTCACCAAACAACGGTTAATATAAATTTTCTTTACCCATGCGAAATTGCACATTTCGACCCAGGACAAAATAATTATAAATTTGTTTGACAGTGATGTTAATTAAACAGCGAAATGATAATTAGGAAAAAAGCCCGTGTTTTATTGTCACATTTCTTTTCACACCTGCTTAAAAGAATCTTTCTAAGTAATCAGGCATAGTGAAAGTTTCTTATTTTCTACATCAGGCATCGAGTACCATCAAAGTTTCAAAAACAGCCAAGTCAAAAGGTAAAGTATATAAAATTACAAAATCCAACCAACAAACTGCCTTCATCTCCTGACCTCAACTAAGGCCATACAGCGGACGTTCCATTCACTAAGTTGTCACATGATATTGCGCACGCGCACAACTTGAACGATCACGTAGTTAGCTATCAGTGACGTCACATCACTGCCTTACTTAATGAGAAAGTCCCGTGAATATCTGAGACGAAATGTTGACAAGGTAACTTAAGGAAAAAAGACTAGGTTTGATGACCGTACGTTATGGAAAAATGGAGGTTCTCTTGTTTCTATAAAAACTCTTTTTTAAAGGCTGATTGGTAAGGACATGATGTGAATAAGATACATTATTTATATCGGGTAAAACCAGGAGAACCTGTAAGTTTGACTGCCGACACAAACTATTAAAAGAAAGTCCTCCGGTAGCGTCGATGAACATTGACTGCTTTGGCAGTAAATGGGTTATGAGATTAGGCGAAAATGTTGATGTTCGGACAGGTCATCATAAAGTAATTAAGTAAAATTAAGTGTTTGGGTTGATCTCTGCCGCGTCTAATCGTCGTTGACCCTCTGCGATTGCGATCTGCGATTGATGCGACTGCTCATCCATCCCCATTATATAGTATAGGTAGTTGGTGGTAGCTGTGCGTGTGCGCCGAACTACAGAATAAACTGTCACTGGCGGTATTTCCGAACCGACCGACCTTCTGTCATTGATAAAAACATTCGCTGTTTTCTTAAAGCTCATCTTTTGACTCCTCGGTTGTTGCGGGTGTTGTGTAAGGGTTAATTAATTATTCTCATTTGAGCATTTTGACGCCCTATTTCATAAAAAGTCTGCTTTTGCAATATCGGGTTACTCAACTATTCTAACAAAAAGAAAAAACTAGAAAATGTATATATATATGTAGTACCTATTTGTGTTTGCGATTATTAATATAATAGTAATCAGATACAATTTAGTCAAACAAACACTAATAAATAGCCTTCTAATCCTTATATTTCCTCGTGATAAGGATGATAAGAAATATGTTTAGCTGACGTCATATTCGTACATTAGACTTCTGTAATACCCCTCCAGCAGATAATTTCGTTTCATTGCCACATTCCTTGATTTATCTAATTGGATAAAGTAATTATCTAGTAGACCTAATTATTGCGGGATTAGTGAGTTTTAACATTTTTCTGTCACGCGCCATATCCATGACTATATAACCTCCCGCAGTTTTACCCCCTACTTGGCTCCTTGGGATTTGAAGATTTAGGAGGGGGAGGATTGAGTAAATCCTGTGACTATCCGCCTGTGTTCCCACCAATCCTGGTTTGGATGGATGATTTTTCATTATTGCATCTTACAATATAGGATTGCAAGAATATATCTATAGAAAATAATAAATATTATGTAACGACTTTTAGAAATACCTTTGTCTCGTTTTGTTCCTGTTTTGTTTTTTGTTGCGGGATCCTGCAACATCTTCGTTACTCTTAACTAACTTCTATTATTTTTTAATTTTTGACTGCACGGTTGGCGCTATGGCCGGGCAACTGGCTGCCGCGCAACGTGTCGTTGGTTCGATTCCCGCACGGAACAACTCTTTGTGTGATGCACAGATTGTTGTTCCGGGTCTGGGTGTGATGTTCATGTGAAATTGTATGTTTGTGAACGCCACGACGCAATCCTAATGTGGGACAACGTTTTTTTTAAAAAGAAAAAAAAAGATATTATAATTTATTGTACACATTATTATAAATCTATCTATACACATAGTTCTTTAGGCTTCTTTAGGCCTAGTTTTGCTGATTTCGCGCTAAACTCTAAAGTTGTCTGGCAGAGAATACCATAAGGCAATAACTAACCTTATGAATCTTTGTCAATCCATATGTGCATTATAATACAGTACAGTAAATACATAAAGTTATAGAGTGTACAATGCGGGGTCTTATCATACAGGGTGCCCGAGCGTACGGCGCGTAGCGTTCCGCGCGCGCCTCAAAGAGACAATAGACCACCACAGGGCCCTATAGGGCTGATGTTTAGCCGGGGTTGCGGGCTAAGCGCAATGAGGCACCGCAGAGCAGGAGAAGGAACAGGGGGGTTTTTAGTCAGTAAGAGTCTGACACTCTCTCCGGCGGGAGAAGTCATTGGATGATTTTCCCCTCACAAAAAAAATTACAGGGTGATTTGTGAGACAACCTTTGGATGTATATTTAAAGGGACCTGGAAATAGGCCGTCTGGTGTATAATTGAAGAACTAGCTACTCTCTCGCGGTTTCACCGGCTGCTCGGCATCAATTGATCGTAGCAATATCGTAACAATATCAATATTGTGAACATTGTAGCTATCTATCAGTGAAAGAATTTTGGCAATCTGACCAGGCAGCGGTTCGAAAGATTATCCCCTATGTACAAACTTACAAATTTTACTTCTTCATAATATATGATATTAGTATAGATGAACTTTCTTACAAATAGGTCAGATAAATAATTAGTGCAATAAAAACATAAACGTCGGAAAATAATTTAAAAATAACTTGTTTTTATTAAATTATTATAACTTAATGTTAACAACAAAAGTGTTATTTTACGTAAGCCTTGTGTTATAAACTTTTGATTAGGATATTTATAAAACTCAGTTCAAGTTATAATTATTTGAATAATTAATTTTAATTAAGTTAATGTATACAATATTCTTATTTTTTTATATAAGGATAGAGCAATGAATTTGCAGTTTACGTATTATGTTACTGCTCGCTGAAGCCATGGTGCGGAGCGAGAGGAACTGGGACGCCATCTCCTCCTTCTGTGAAGCAGTTATGTTCGCAAGCAAAGAGGGAGGTGGCCCGCGTGAGGGAGCAATTTTCCCCCTCACGCCCCAACCGCCGCAACAGGTGACACTACGGGCGTCGGGGATCAAGGGACGATCTCCGGCCACCGTAAGCGCGGGTCTGCGGCCGGCAAGTAAGAGTTTTAGTTATGTTAGTTTAGTTTTTGTTTTAGCAAGTCACCTAATTTTTAATTATTGTAGTTCATTTGGAAGAGCAGCTCGCGGCCCGACTAGAACCAAGCCCGAGCGTACGGCGCGTAGCGTTCCACGCGCGCCTCAAAGAGCCAATAGACCACCACAGACGAGGCCTTATAGGGCTGATGTTCAGCCGGGGTTGCGGGGTAAGCGCAATAAGGCACCGCGACCTCGGCCCATAGCAGGAGAAGGAACAGGGGGGTTTTTAGTCAATAAGAGTCTGACACTCCCACCCGCCCGGCCCTGGGCGGGAATAGTCATTTGATGATTTTCCCCTCACAAAACAAAACATCTTCTAATTACAAATACTTTCACCGATAAGTATAGTTAAACCGGCATTATCTAGTTTTTCACATTTAAATTGACGTGTAAAATTGCCGTTTTATGGCCTATTTGCAAAAATAAATTCATTGTTTCAAAGGATGATTATCATCACATATAATGAAGGCGCAATTGATATAAGTATTAAATCTTTTATTAAACTACGATATACATATAGCACGGCTTGAAGGTTAAAAGAAAAACCAGTATAGTATTTAGTAAGTTAGAGATAGGTAAATGTATATGATGTGTTTTATTATTTTTGTTTGTTTTTTCTTTTTGTATATATAAAATGTAATTGTATTTATTTTCTGTGCGAGTCTCAAATAAATGTTTTTCTTTCTCTCTTTCTTTATGAAAGAGCGAACCATGTTTTATAAAGTAGTATTTCGCTAAGGGCTCCGAAAATGAAAATAAAATAAGTGAAAGTATTTTTTTTTATGTAATAGGTCGGCGAACGAGCAGGCGGATTACCTGATGGTAAGCAATCAGCGCCGCCCATGGATACCCGCAACGGAGGTGTTACGAGTGCGTTGCCGACCTTTTAGGGATTAGGAATAGAGGAGGGATTGGGGGAGGAGAAGGATTGGGCCTCCGGTAACCTCACTCACACGGCGAAACACAACGCTGTGGTTGTTTCACGCCGGTTTTCTGTGAGGCCGTGGTATCACTCCGGTCGAGCCGACCCATTCGTGCCGAAGCATGTCTCTTTCGCACTTGTATAATACTAGACTATACATATTATTGTGTAATAATTCAGACGAACGTTTTAAGTTGGCGTTGCCAGCGTTACGATTCTGGATTCATTCCAGCGTAAGTAGAGTTTTTGATGAACTTGTCAAGTTTCGACTCCGTTTCCTCATACTTGGGAAATAACCTCCGTGTTACCATGGCTATAACATTACGTTTAATTAAGGTCGTTCGGGTCTTGCAGACCTTAAGAACGTTCATTCACCTTTACACGTTACAGTATCTTATCAAAATGACTCAATCCAAGGAAATATAACGTTAAGTCATTATCATACAAAGTCCAAAAGTCCTTGTATCAAATACTTGTGGACTTACAGTTTAACGTATAGGTAGAGATTGTAGTTACAATCTACAATCTACACAAATCTGTGTAGGTAAGTACTTACAAAGATTTGTAGATATAACTGAGTCAGCAACTGTTTAGCAAGTCACCTAATTTTTAATTATTGTAGTTCATTTGGAGCCGTGGTTGATCTAATAATTTTACCAATCATTTTATTGATTAAGAAATTACCAGAAATTTAGAATGAGCAAGAACCAGCACCTAGCTTCACTGACGAACAGACTGATAAACTATTTTTCCATTTGACGTTTCAAAAGTAACTGTTTATAGTTTCGTTAGAATAAATGATTTTGGCTTGATTTGACTTTGAATTGACATAGGTCGTCTACATTTTCATCTCATCTTATCCAGTCACTAGACGGCTGGAGATTACTAAGGCTGTTATCCAGCCGAGGTTGTGGGTTCAAGCTAAATCCACCTCTCGGCCCCCCGAGCAGGAGAAGTAACGAGCTGGTTTTTTATTTGTAAGTTCGTTGTACAGTTTACCATACTATTTTTAGACAATTTTATATAACTATTGTGATACTAAATAGAAACCATAAAATATCTGTCTGATCAATTTAATGCGTAGTGCCAAACGACCGCATTGAGAATTATAACAACGAAATGACTGAACAAAATAATGTAATCTCTTGTAGCAAAGAGCAGTTCAAATAGTAGATACGTTCAGATAAATACGAAACTCCCCGTCACTGAGATCAGCGAACCGGCGTAACAATGATGACGTCAAAATACAGTGACATGGCGATGGCGGACAAAACGCTATCCGTTTGGGCATCCGTATACGGTACCTATACCTGAGTTGTGACGTCACGAATCACGAAGTAATAACTTACAGATTAAGATAAGATTGATCTAATGATCTCAGACATTTATTATTTATGTTTTTATAATAAGTCTACTATACATATATGGAGTGGCTTTGTATATTTTTTCCTGTAATTATTGTTGGTTGATGGGGAATTTAGGGCTAATGACTGATGGCACCTCTGTGTGGAACCTTTTCTCTTACTGTTGCCTCTTTAGCTTAGAAGATGCTCATGCTAAGTGTGGGAGAGCAATGCTTCGGCACGAATGGGTCGGCTCGACCGGAGTGATACCACGGCCTCACAGAAAACCGGCGTGAAATAACCACTGCGTTGTGTTTCGCCGTGTGAGTGAGGTTACCGGAGGCCCAATCCTTCCCCTTCCCCAATCCCTCCTCAATCCCTAAATCTCCAAATCCCTAATCCCTAAAAGGTCGGCAACGCACTCGTAACTCCTCCGTTGCGAGTGTCCATGGGCGGCGCTGATTGCTTACCATCAGGTAATCCTTCTGCTCGTTTGCCGACCTATTACATAAAAAAAAAGAAGATGGATTATTAATGAGTATGATTTGCTGAAGCTGACTAGATTCAGCAATATCAACGTCTACAGACTCTACAGTCTTTCTTCTACCTATCGTGTTCTTGACATACCAGAGACCATTACTGAGGACTATTCTGTCACTAGTTACTAATGTTTTAATGGATATCATGGTAACTCTTTGTTTAAAAACTGCAACATCTATTATATTACTTAAATTCGATCTTCTGGTTTGTATATGGCCTCAAATCCCTCAATCCTTAAATCCAGAAGGCAAGCAACGCCCTTGGGAATCCTCTAGTGTTGTAGATGTCCATAGGCGGCGATTGCTTACCTTAATACCTTGCTTATAATAAATAGTCCCCTGCAAGCAAGCATTCTCCTTAGCTGCTGAGTTATCCATGTGCTTAAAAGGCTATAGTTCTAAGTTTTGTACTACAGTGGAAACTTACAACAAGGCAGTAATTTATCTTTAAAATTCAATTAATTGTATAATTATTGTAAAGTTTTCCGTGCGCTCCCTGATAGTAGAGGTGGACGTCACCCAGGGTGACCTAACCTCTTCAGTGACATTCCTACCAATTCCAGTAAATCCGTTATCTATACCCGACTGCCGATAATTCGATATCTCTGTGTGAAATTCAGTAGTAACTGTAATATCTTAGATTGAATATAATAAAGTTAATGAGTAATGATTTGTGATCACGTTTCTTATACGTTTATTGTATGGCTTATAATTTTATTACAGTGTAATTGTCGAGTTTCTCGTGATTCCTGTTCTTATCGCTGTATGTATTATGCTTTAGGTTTAATATGGCAGCTCTTATTAAAAAATGATTTTATCTTCATGTGTGCCGATGATGATGATGATGGAATGTGCAATCAATACATAAATATTTTGTCATATTTCCAGTCGATCTTGGTACCTAGTCATCATATATTTTTATATTTAAATACCTACCTCAAATAAGACACTATAAATTTTATAACATAAACAATACACAAATAGTGCAGGTCTGCAAAATTACTATCTTAGATATACATCATCATCAGCCTGTTGTCGTCCACTGCTGGACATAGGCCTCCCCAATTGCACGCCACTGAGCTCTGTCACTGAGCTGCCAGCCACCCTGCGGATGTCGTCAGTCCACCTAGCTGGAGGGCGCCCTACACTACGTTTGCCTAGACGTGGTCTCCACTCTAGAACACGTTTACCCCAGCGGTCATCGGTTCTTCGACAGATAACTTTCTGTGATAATTTATTTTTAGCTCTCTGGATTATTAATAGCATTTAAAATCGAATTATAACTAGTAACTGCTGTATCTCTCATTTGGATGATTAAATGATTATACAAATGACCACAAACCACTGTCACCTGCTGGACTGTTGCTTCTATAAAATGTCCTGTAAGTGTTATGTGTATTTACAGTGTATTTTCATGATCAATAACTTCTTATGAGGTAATTATACTTGTTATCTACTAATAAGTTACCTATACCTATAATGAAACCGGATTTCAAAATTTTTGCTTAGTGTAATTTATGTATTTACATAAATTTTATTTTACTATTTTCCTTTATACTAGCGACCCGCCGCGGTTTTGCACGCGTGCAATGCTGATGCTGAAATTCTTCGCTATTAGATCAATATTATTTGGATGCATCATACGTACCTTCTTCTTCAATTACTCTAAATATTATAAAACCGCATCAAAATCCGTTGCGTAGTTTTCAAGATTTAAGCGTACATAGGGATATAGGGACAGAAAAAGCGTTTAGTGTTTTCTACGTAGGTACATAGGTACGTATTGATTCAGTCTTAGATGTTCTTTCCATTTTTATTACCGACGTGGATGCTAATACGTCTCACGATCATAACAAAACAGAAAATGCGTATTCAAAAGTTTTGAATGAATGAGGGTCCTGCCGTAGTTTCTGGAAATTCATTTTCACTATCCGTTTCTTAAGTGACCTAGTTAAGTAAAACATTTTCAATACATCTTACTCGGTACGGTACATAGGTAAATGGAGGATTTTCGTATTTATCATTTTTGTATGTAAATGTTTACTTTAGATTTGGGACAAGTTTCAACAATTTTCCAGAGACAAGTTTAAACCTGTCCGTGGAACCGAACGCTGTTATCACGAAGGTTCAAGCTTTAACCGCTCCAGCTTAATACAAAACAAACATACCTATCGGGGGCATAGTGACGAAAAATCTATAATTAAACCACAACACGAACTTGGTTAGTGATAGGAAACGAATGAAATTTTCAAAATACTAATGACCGATAACTTATCGCTTTAGTAAGTCGAATTATAATTAAATCCTTCAGTATTGCCATTGGTTGCTTGTTGATGAAATATGGGAACAATTCCATTATCTACACAAAACATGTATTGTTATGCCACATAATTCATGGTCCAAAAAAATTACCAACGTTTCTTAATAATATCAATACCTATCCATTTTTGTATGAGATAGATCGGAAAACTAGCAATCGATGATATACTACTAGCAATAGATATTACT